TGTTTTTTGTTTTTTTGAATATCCAGAGGACCAGATTGAACTTTTTTGGATTTTTCTACCTGGATTATTGAGCATGCATCAGGATATTATTTTTCTTTTGTTGTTTCTTTTTTTTAACAAACCGACATCCTGATGATTGACAGGCTGCAGCAGTGCCCTAAATTGCTGGTCTTCCAGACACTGTAAATGGAATTTACTTTTATTAATTTCAGGGTTCTCAGCATTTTATAAAAACAAAATTCTCAGAGTTTTCCCTGTTTGGAAAATGTGAAAGTCATTTTCCAGGTTTCCCGACTTCCAGAGTCTCAGGAAACACTGCACTTTGTCTCTGCTACTGATGTTCTCATGTTTTCCCTTCAATGTGTGATCTTCTGACAACAAACAATTACCAAAATGGATCTAGTCTACATTTTTGCTAATGTACATTTTGGCAGCAATTCATAGTCGAAATCCTGATTAGCAAGTCCAGCTGAACAATTCCCTAAATCGTTCATCTTATTTTTTCTTAAACTAATGAAAGAAATGTAATGCCACTGACAGAGGGACAGAGAGGAACGATGGTTTGAGAGAGGAGTAAAGGAGGCCAGCTTTGTGAAAAGAAATCGTCCATCATTAAACAGGAGTGGAGGCCTCCGGGTTCAACTAACTTTCCCCCACTTACAATGCTGTTATTGCTAGTATCACTCAACCTCCTGTGAATAGTAAACAGCCATCAGTGTGCTAATGATCCATTGTTAGGCTGATGGTCCTTCTTGACCATGTGAGCAGCTGATTTTGGTTGTCAGCAGCAAATTGGTTGATCCACTCCGAGAAGGTGCTATTTAAGAGACTGAGCTGAATACAGCACCTCAGCCCGAGGAAGTCTCTCGGATGAGAGACGAAACGTTTCTACATTTTTTTTGCTTTGGAGAGACGAAACGTTTCTACATTTTTTTTGCTTTGATTTGTTTTTGTTTTTTTGTTTTGAATGTCCAGAGGACCAGATTGAACTTTTTTGGATTAATGCCACCGAGTTTTAAATTTAATGCTTTTTAAGACCTTAAAGTTTGAAAAATTGATTTAATGAATGGCTGCTTCAACAAACTTGCACTATTTTTTTTAAAGCCATTTTCAGCTTTTAGCTACTGCCTGCCAGTAGCTAAAAGCTACATGCTTTTAGTTAAAGTGTTGCTGGTTTTAGCTTCTGTTCTACTCGTTTGTTTTTACAATTCACTTAATTATTCTTCAGCAAATGTCTGCAAAATCAATCTATACTCAGCATTTACAATGCTTTTATTTTCATCAGACAATGCACGTGCACACGTCATTTTCTTTTTAACCGACGAGTTGTACTGACATGAAGGCGGGGTACATCCCAGAAACCTCCTCATGCTGTTTTGAACAAGAAGGAAGCAACTCACTCTGCTGCTGGCCGACTCGTACATGTCTCCTTCAACTTTTCGGGCATAGGCCACCAGGTTCTCCATTCGACGGTCCTTGAGAGCAGCAGGATCCGGAGTAGGAAAGATGGCCTGAACACTGCAAGTGGAAACACAAACAAAAAGAAAGCAAAAGAGTTAGAAAAACAATGTGAGACTAGAGAAAAGTTCTTAATCTTATTTCAGCCATCTTGTGTTGCTGTGGTTAAAGCAATCTGCCCCTCCACGTGTAGAATCAGCAATGTAGGCCCCAGTAGTTCAAATAAACGGCAACAAGATTGTTCTATGTCGTATAAGCTTCGCCCTTTAAGGCCTTCGCTTTAGTGGGTTTATCCCGTTATGCGCAGCATAAGCACTGAAAAAAATTTAGTCCACGCCCACCTGCTGTGTGGGCCCCACCCGGTCCGTATAAATTACGTTAAGAGCGGGAAATCGGCTCCCATTTTTTCTTCAGCGAGCTAAAATAGCACTGTCAGAAGAACAAAGAAGGAAAATTGTGTAGATGACCAACCTTTGTTAAGGATGCTTGGCCCGGCAGTCGACCTCCGGTCGTCCGGTGAGTTCTCCTCCCCGAGGAGAAGATGACGAGCAGTCTTATTCCAAGGTAAGCGCCGAGGAATATTTCCCAGTGACAGGTCACTACACGCTGGACAACGCCATCTTGTATTTTTTCTTCTTATCGCCGACCCTCGGAGCGAATCGGATGGTTCCTCCGGGACAGGCGTGCTCAGCTGCAGCCCCCGCTGCTCATTCCCTCCTGGGGAGCGTAGTGTCGGTGGTGGGGGGGGGCCTGAGTGAATGCTCACCCCATCCCACCTCGTTTTCGCATCGGCGATCACACCGCTCCCGGCCGACGGCGCCCTCAGGGGTTGCCCGGCGTAACCCAGGAGGAGGCTGACATGAAAGGACCCTTTTTTACGTCCTACGCCTTTCCCGCCAGTTCGGATGATCCGGCGGGAAGGTTGTTTACTGGGCTCCATTCCGGCTCACCGTCTTGACCCATATGGCCTCGTGCTCCCAACAGGACGTCCTACGGGCGAGGCCACAGACGGGTTCTTTCCTGGTAGATTGGGGGAGCCGGTCTCCACAGTCCGCACCCATCTCCGGAGCAGGGGTTCACTGAGCGGAAAGTCCCTCCATGCCCCCTGGAGCCGAGCCTGATGGAGGCTTCATTGGAGTAAGATGTTCGAGATGGACCAGCGTCCCGTGCCTCCGGTTAGCATAACCGAGACGGTGACACCGCTCTCCAACTGAGCTCACCAGCATGTGTTCCACACGGCCGCAGCGAACAACACGTTATGCTGTTGGCGTACACGTTCAGAGGCGGGAAGAGACGGTGGCCCTTTGTCCTTCGGCTCACTCCGCTCTCGCAGCGGCTGCTGCTAACAACGCTGCCGCCCCCTGCAGTACGCTCAGTCTACAGGTCAGCTGACGTCATCCTCAACCGGTGCGCCTCTTTTGCTGTCTGCCGCCCCGCATCGCAGCCGGAGAACGGGGTCCCAGAAGCTCTCCTGGCCCGTCACTCCACCTTCCTCTCAGGAGAAATGCAGGAGTCCATTGGTGATCCTCTTTTCATCAGCTAGAGATCATTTCAAGATGCTCCACAGCTGTTCCACGGCTGCTCAACGCCTCCCCAGCTCTGCTACGCCAGCCCCTCCCGTCAGATGTCCCCGGCAGCCGGAAGTTTATTTTTTTTCCCGGACTTCGCCAACAGGGGGCCCTCCAGGACAACAAACAGAGCTCAACGGAAGGTAATCAGGTGTCCGGTCGCTGGAGGTGTGTTGATGACACTGTAAAATAACATCATTTTATGATGAAGTGTCTCCTAGCCAGGCTGTCAGCATGGTTTATCTGACAAGCGGCTCCATCACACACACTCATCACGAATGAGCCTTTTTAAGGTTGTTTTCATTCACTGTCAGCAGTGCCGATGCGCGCTCCCGCGGCATGAAAGTGCGCATGCAGCTCTCAGCGCCCGCCGTTCACGTCAACGTTCACGTGAGACCACGGTACGAGCTCAGCAACGTATCTCGCTCCCGGCAGAAGCGACACACGTTTTGTCATTGCAGCGGTGTCAACACGCGCTCCCGCAGCGTTAGCAGTTTCACAAGCCTCACAGCGGCTCTGCTCCTTTATCCTTGAAGAAGGTTTTCTGAATTATTACTGCAGCGCATGGAATCATTCTGAAGTTCACGTGACTTGCAGCCAAGAATGAACGGGTTTTTTCTGCAGACCGAGCCAGGGGTAGCCTCGCTTCACCGATGCCGTGCGCTGCTTCCTGACCGCTCCAGTGCCAACGCGCGCTCCCGCGGCGTCAGCAGCCCCACAAGCCTTCACAGCGGCTCAGCTCATACATCCTCGAAGAAGGGGCTTTGTCTGAATTAATATTGCAGCTCGTGGAATCACTCAAAAGCTCACGTGACCCGCAGCAAACGAACGTTTTTCTGCAGACCGGGCCAGTGGTAATCCCGCTCCACCGTTGGCGCACGGTGCCTCCTTACCGCACCAGTGCCAACGCGCGCCCCCGCGGCAATCCTGGCTTAAAGCGTCGCATGAGGACACACACACACACGACCCTCAGGGCGCGTCGGCTCATATGTGCACCCGCTTCCGAGCGTTACACCGAGCAGCTGTACACAAGTGATCATCAGCGCGCTCCAGTTCACATCAGCATGTATGTGAGTTTTTCACAGCATAAATGTGTGCCCGCTTTATAGCTTATAATGGGTGGCAATGAATGCGCGTCTCCAGACGGATGGACGAATCGTTTTCATCCGGGATTCACGCTGCAGTTCAGCTCAAACCCCGGTGTGGAGGAACTCTGTGATGTTTTTTCTGTCATTTATGAACAGATCTCGTCCCCTCTAGTAGAAGATCAGGATATTCTTTTTTGAAATGTAATTTCTAGAATCTCAGATGGAGAGGAAACACAAGGTCTCTCATCACTTCCTGGTCCCAATGAGCCAGAAAGATGAGATTTATTCTAGATTGTCAATTTTCTGAGCTGTGAGAAACAACACTCTATTATGCGCTCGAGCCGCTTTAATTCTGTGTTATCTGGACACCTGCTGCTGTTGAGCAGCTTGTACAGACAGGGGGCAGCAGTGCAACTCACGTGAATCGGTTGAGTGATATCAGCTGTTTTCCGTCAGCAGATCTACGCCACACACATTTAATAAGCTGTGGAGCCGCTGTGGCTCCCCACACAGCAGCCTTTTAAATGTTTTGGAGTGTCGCACGGGGTCTTTGAATGTGACTCAACACTGACCTTGAGTTGCAGAATCATCAGAGTTTGTGATTCTCAGACAGCAAGTGACTGTTGCACACATACTAGCAGGAAATGTATGCATATTTTCAATCCATGTGCCACATTGTGAGACAGATGCTGTGTGGGACACATCCAATCTGTTCTCTATTGGAGTGGGTACATCTCATGTATTCCACCCAGAACTAGGACTCAGACACGGTAGAATCCTGCCAGCATCTGCGGACGTGTAGCAACACGAGAGAACGCTCAATGTCAATTATAATTAGCGTGGAGCCATAGGACGATCCACCGCTGGGTGGACGTGCCTGCTCACAGCCTGTGGTCGTAATGCCTTTCACCTTCTTCTCTCCCTCTGGTATCACGGTTTTCTGAACCGAACTCAGGAGGAGGGACTGACGGCTCCTCTGCCCCAAGTGCGTGAATGCATCATGGTTCCCAGGCTTACGACATCTTTTATCAGGGCGCTCGTGGAACCTGCCGTGGAGGGGGGACGCTTCCTTCCAGGCGGGAGGAACGATCAGGAATTAATCAGATTAGTCCAGCACCTGTGGTTTGGCCGCTGTGCAGATCTTTGAGAGGATGGATCTCTCGCAAGATGTAGTGCGTACGATTCAGGAGTCACGTGCTGCATCCACCACAGCGCTGTTCACATCAAGTGGTCAGTTTTCCAACGCTGCTGTACAGAAAGGCATAGAGGCCACTTCATGTCCACTGGACGACATGCTGTCTTTCTGCAGCAGCCGAAGGACAGAAATCTGGTGTCCAGCACGACTATTGTATGCTGCAACCGTGTTTTTCTTTTGTCTCAAAGTTGTCGTAGACAGAACAACCTTTAATCATCCTCTGACGGAGCATTTTGTCTCAGATTGATATAGCGGCTGTGGGCCTGTTGTGACACAGGTAACGTTCAGTGCGCTTCTCTGAGCCCATGAGACGAACCACCGCTGGGGGGTGGATACGTTTGTCCACAGTCCATGGCCCAAAATGCTTCTGTACGCGTTTTTTCTCCACCTCCTCTGATCTTACGGTCTTTGAACCGAGCTCAGGAGGAGGGATTGACAGCTCTCCTGGTGGCCCCGAGCGCGTGGGTGCACCATGGTTTCCAGTCCTAGAACGCCTGCTGTCGGGGTGCCCGTGGGAACTGCCGTAGAGGTAGGACGCTCCCCTTCCAGGCAGGAGGAGCGTCCAGGAGTTACCCAGAAATAGGCCAGCACCTGTGGTCTGGCCGTTGAACGAATCCACTTACAGAGGATGGGTTGCCCACAGGATGTAATGCGCACAATTCAGGTTTCTCGTGGTGCATCTACCACAGCGATATACACATCAAAGCGGACAGCTTTTCAGTGCTGATGTACAGAGAAGGATGTAGAGACCTCCTCATGTTCTTTAGGTGGCATGCTGTTCTTTCTGCAGCAGCTGATGGACAGAAATCTGCATCCAGCACGTTTAAAACGTACGCTGCAGCCATCTTTTCCTGACATGAAGGTTTCTGAGACAGAACAGGTTTTATCATTCTCTGATGAAACGTTTTCTAAAAGGTGTACAGAGACGCAGGTCTGTTCCACACCCACTTGTTTCCAGTGGGATTTAATACTGGTCCTGCAGGTCATGATCAAAGCTTCATTTGAGCCTTTGGATCAGGTTCCACTTAAATTCTTGTCTTTTTAAACAGCACTGCTGCTGGCTTTAACACCCGCTAAGAGAGTGAGTGTTTTTATCTGCCCTCTCTGTCGCTCCGTCATGTCTCAGAAATTAGGCTGACGGCAGATCAGCTGATTTTAGATCAACCCAGCTTTTATGCTTAATACATCACGAGCTCTTTTAATCAAGAG